TGTGAACAGAGGATGGTGAAATTATAAGATACAGATTTTGCATTCAGAGCTATATTTATTATTAATCTTGAATAAATGTTCCTAACAAAGTCTTTGCTTTGCTGACCTGTCAAAAGAATCTGTGGCCATCTTGTACAGATAGATGAAGAGCTTGCTGCAGTGCTTGAGCGTAGGGCAGACGCTGTCTCCTGCACAGCCTCCGGGGACGGCCTCGTCCTCCAGGAGCCTCTGGAAAGGCTGAGCGTTGGAGGGGAACACACTTGTGGGGCCCAGCTTCTTAGTGTCTGAGAAACAGCCCAGCAGCCTGGAGGACGGCAAGCAGTCGTTAGGAGACGGCAGAATTGGGTCTTGAAGAGAACAACCATACTCATACAAACAATCTTAACACTTCCAAAAGTCTTAATTTCACTCAACTTCAACTATCTGGATGTTTTTCTGAAACTGGTCTACTCGACAGCTCGGTGTGTTGTGTCCACAAAACAAAACGTCTTCTTTCCCAAACAGGCGGTCCTTACCTGACCGCGTCGGCCAGCTTCTCGTACTGGATCTCCGTACGGAAGAAGTGAGAGTTGGCCGGCTCGTAGCGCATGGCGGCGGTGAGCGTGCAGAAGACCGTGTGCAGGAGCTCGAAAACCTGGTTCTGGTTCACGCGCTCCCAGCCGTGTCGCAGCGGCTGACACAGCGAGCGCTCCATGGCCACCAGGAGCGAGGTGACGTAGACGAAGCCGCCCACCTTGCGGAACACCGTCCGAGTGCGGTGACTCTCTCGCAGCACGGATAACAAAGCCTGAAGAGAGGAACGATTATTTCATTGGGATTTTTACAGACGGACGCGTCTACAAACGCTAGCTAACGTAGCTTGATGCATAACGTCTTCTGACGATGTCACACGCCACGTTTCTCCTTCCCTGATCTGAACTCCCACTTATTTACTTTATAACTTGCTCAGTTATTTTCTCCTGTCTTAATTTATTTTTTGTCAACCCATTCAATCACATTTCTATTCATCAACTCATTTTCCCTCTCGTTGTTCTTTTTCAGGGACATATTTATGAGCCCCTCTGGGTTTCTTCGCCCCGCTGCACCGACTCGGTTTTTACGGTTTGTATTTGCAAGCGACCAAACTGAAACATCAAACTGTAACCTAGATATGCGTCTGGGGAGGTAAAAAAAAAAACTGCCTGAGAACACAGAGCGACTATGACAGGCAAAGTTTTTAATTGGCAAACAGGGAGAAAAATGTCTGCGACCGACAGCAGGTGAAGCTTTTGAATGACACCGGTGAAGTGCGGCGTCAATAAAAAATAAACAGCACCACCGGGGGCTTTTTAATATCATCACCTCTGAAGTAAAAATGATGGAAGCATGCGATGTACAACTAAATGATGCAGGCTTCTCTGCATACTGCAATAAGTACATGTGCAGAATTTCAGTCAAGAATATAACAAACTAAAGAAGTACTGGTACTAATGTTACTCAGGCTAACGTGACAGTCGTGGATATCTGAAAACAATCAATACATCATTTTTATACATTTGTAATGGTAACATGAGGAAAAATAACTCTTTAAACACCAGGACGTCAGTGTGGAGAGCAGAAGACGCACCGCATTAACCAAATTCAATCTTAAAACTATTCCATAGTTGATGAAAATGATTTATTTATGAAAACTATTTATTTTTCCTGATTTTGCTGTACTGGAATCATCACTTTATTTCTGATTTGCACAAATAACTCTCATTCTCTGACACTCTCAGTACCCTGAACTCATTTATTAAACAAACTTTTTTATATTTATTTATTTTAAATTCAGTGTTTTAATGTTTTGGTATTCCCACAACACCTGGGATTGATTATTTAAGATAATGATTAAATAATCAATCCCAATAATAATCACAGACTGTCTCAGAGGGGGACGTTAAGTGGGGGAGAAGAGCATGAAGGTAGAGAAATGTAGAGAGGAAAATAGAGGAGAAGACAGAGAGTGGAATGCAGGGATGAGGAAAGATGAAAGGGAGTGAAGGAAGACTGGGGGGGAGTAAAGAAGATGAGGGAGGAAGATAGGAAGGCAGATTGGGAGAAAGAGAGGGAGGAAGGCTGGGAGGAATAGGTGGTGGGGAGGGAGCAAAACCAAGGAGGGTGATAGGAATGAAGAAAGGAAGAGAAAGAGAGGAGGCAAGGAAGGAGGAAAAGAGTCAGGAAGGGAACATGATGGGAAGGCAAATCGGCAGGAAGCGAGGGAAGGACATGGAGTGGAATGGGGGATGGTGGTAGAGAGGGAGAAGGGAACAGAGGACAAAAAAGAAAGAAATGGGATGAAAAACAGGAGGAGGGTCGAGTCCTTGGTCGACCGCTTCAATTTCAGGGTTTTGATTTAGTTGTGAATATTCTGTAGTTGCACAGGATGCTTTGCTTCTGTCCAGTCGGTGGGACAGGCATATTTGGCACCATGAGCACAGGCGGATCAGGAAATGCTGACCAATGCTGAAAAAGCCCTGAAACTCAAAGGGGTAGATCAACTCCACGGCCTTGTCTTCTGGAGACTGTGGTTTGTGGAAGACACAGAGTTGTCTCAGACCGCCTAGGACAGCGGTCTCAAACTCGCGGCACGGTGGCCACTTGCGGCCCACGCCACCCCTACTTGCGGCCATATACTGACGTGAAGAAATATAATGCAATTTGGCCCTTGAAGTTACTTTTTTTTGTTAGGAAGGATGTGTTTGTTGTTGACTGCAATGGTTAAAGAAGTTCTTTAAAAAGCCAAAAATGATTTAATATGAAGGCAACATGAGCAGAGAGCACAAACATGTCGAGGGATTGGCTGTGTTAGTTCACTGAGAGAGTCAAAAACTAATGTGCACACTTATGTCTGCATTTTTATTTTGTTAAATACAAACAAAATTTGTTTCTGGCCGGAAAGAGGGGACGAGTTTGTTTATTTGGTAGTTCAATGAACGGCTTCAGTTAGTTAAGAGAGAGAAAAATTATTACATTCACATTTGCAGATTTGTCTTGTTAAACAATATTTGAAGTTTAAAAAAACCAAAAAAACAAAACGTTACATTTTCAGAAATTTGTGGGTGTTTTCTTGTTTGTTTTGTACTACTTGAACACTAAGTGGCCCTCCAATGAGATGACAGTGCCAGCAGTGGCCCACAGCTCATTTAAGTTTGATACCCATGGCCTAGATCTTTGCCTCTGTTCAGCTGGTGGAAAAGCTTCCTCTGTTTCCAGTAGGACAGGATCATCAGATGCACTGTCTTGTTCTGTCACTTCAGAATCATTACAGTGACCAACAGTGCAGTTTGAGTAATGAGTAATGCAGTACAGAGTTGGGGTTTTTTTGCAGTGTAACTACTGAAATGGCTGGTGAGAGTATGTGTATGTATTTACTTTTGAAGCTGTGGTCAAAAAGAGTTCACTGAACAAACCGTTATCCATGACAGACCACCCTAACCACCCTCTGTACCATTCACTCATCAGGCAGCAGAGCATCATACTGTAATGACTGTAGCACATGTATAGGTTATATTTATGTAGCACATATACACAGCACTGTGCAAAAGTCTCAAGCAGTCGCTCATTTCTCTCTATCCTGTTAGGAAAAAGGTGAAATATAGTGCAGTCAATTAATGAAACATGTGCCAGCACACACTGAAATACAGCCAGAAACAGAGTTTGTATGATTTTAACAAGCTTGAGTGTCAATATTTATTATGACCACCTTTATTCTTCAATACAGCCTGAATTCTCTTAGGTGAGCCTTCTTGTAATATCTTTAAGTAGTCTTCAGGAATGATTCTCCAGGCTTGTTTAAGAACACCAAAACTTTTTTGTCTGACACGGTTCCATTGTGTACTTTTCTGTCCAGATACGATTTCCCTGCATTGGAAAAGCATACTTTAATAGCTCTTTAAAAACCAAGGTGGTTTTTAAAGAGCTATTAAAGTATAAAATTGTATTTTTTTGGTGCAAAAATACAATTTTATGCCTTTCAGACTCTGATCTTTGGCATTTTGCATCGATTCAACCATAGAAATTGGAACCAACCATGCGTGTTTGTGAGAGACTGATAGTAAAGCAACTAAAGATACAATTTAAACAAATTTGTACCCCTCAGCTGTAAAAGGCTCAAGAGCGAAGTCACCTCGGACTTTGACACTCATACCAATGGTGCTCCTAAAAATCGACCACTAACCTCTAGTGGTGCAACGGATCACCCGCCCAGCAAGGTGATGACAATATCCAATCAGCCTTTTACGGCTGAGGGGTAAAACGCAGAAGATTTGGCAGGCTCCTGTTTGACAGTTTACCTGCTCATTTACCATGTTAAATGTTCAAGATCATGACAGCAAAATTAGAAAAAGTACAGCTTGTTTGGAAGGGTTGCTTGGATGGATCCTCTTCTCTCGAAAACAAACATGGAAACACAGCAGCACAGCTTAGGTTTGTTTCTGAACCAACCATAGGACTTCTGGAACTACGTGGTTGTTTGTGCATAATGCACAGTGACACGTCTGACAGCATATTAACACAAACACGTCATACTACTGTGCAGTATGTCAGCACGGTGGTGGAGGGGCGATGACTTATGTTTGCTTTGCAGCCACAGGACCTGGCACCTTGAAGTCACCAGTACCAAAGTGTCCTACAGTCAAACATGAGGCCACCTGTCTGACAGCTTAAGCTCCATTAAAACTGGGCCATGCAACAGAAGACAGATCCCAAACTCTGCAGCAAAAGAAAAAACTCAATGCAGTCTTTTCTTTTGAAACATTGGCGGGACGTTAAGAGAGCTGTGCAAAACTTCTGTCTGCAAACGTGAAATGAACTAAAGCAATGATGTAAAGGGGAAAGACCTCTACAAGACACTGAATCATGGGATGTTCTTAGCTTTTCACCTAAATGCAATAAGAAAAACTAAGAACATCCCATGTTTTGTTGCTAAGGAACACACCACCAGTGAAATCTCACAGAGAATCGCATCCCAGTACTGAGAAATCACTGCACTGGATTTTCACATTTCACATCGCCCATTTCTCAAGATTACAGCTAGAAAAGTAATGAGTATAGCTGGGACCTATAAACATGTCCGACTGGAGGGACGGTGAATAAAGGAGAAGTAAAAACTGTTACACGTTGCACCACTGATCCAGCTGTTTCCTGCTACTTTAAAAGACTTACAGACTCAGCACAATGCTTTTAAAACCAATCACAGGATGTTAAAGACATCCTCTTCCTGGGAAATTGCCACCAGGGTACATCTATACGCACATAAAACTTGGGTTTTGGGGTGTTAAGTTTACCAGCCATGGGGAGGCTTTAGGGACAGGCTGTTCTCTCTCAAGATATATGCGTGGACACCTTCACAAGGCTGGATTTTACTCCGGTATCTCTCAGAGGGTCTGCAGTGCGTTAGTGTAAGTGATACTTAAACTCTGAAGAAGAGGGAGGAAAAATTATTAAAGTCAAACCAGATTTGATATGAGTTCTTTGGAATCCTTTTTAGGGCGGTAATTAAAATCCCTGATTAACGGAATTGGAGTAAAATGCTGACGGGTTAATCCAAGTAAAGCCTCGGCATGTGAATAACCTCGTTTGAAGGAGTGGAATCTGAAAATGCAATTACGCTTCAGCAGATGAGCCTCGCTCACATCCTGTCTGTGTGTGAGTGAGTGTGAGTGTAGTGTATGCTTTTATGTGCACCTAGCTCTCAGTGCACCTTGTTTGAAGCGATTACTGTATGCAGGGCTTCAAATGAATATTGATTTTTTAAATTACAGACTTTCCTTTCCTCTGTCATCTCACTCAAATTCACAGACGGGTGTTTTTTAGTGTCCACCAAAACAAATGCAGCAGAAGTAAATGTAAAAAGACACATAAACTGCACAAATTAAAGGAATATAAGTGGCGAATCCCAGCAGAAAGCGCCTCGACAATATTGATTAAAACAAAAGAAGACGTGAGCCGTTACCCTCAGTATGTCTGTCTTCAGCTGCAGCTCACTGGGCGGTGCAGAGTGCATGAGGCCCAGCAACGTTCCCATGTCGTCGTCGCCGCTGGGCGACAGGACGAGCTGCTGAATGATGAGCAAAGCGTGTTCGCGACACTGGCGGTACTTCACGATGTTGTGAACGCAACGCGCGCCGCCGAACTCTCTGAACAGAGCTGCAAGAAAAGAAGAAAACACAAAACATAATGAAATCAGGTCAATTAATGAATAAACCACTTTGTTGCTGGTGGGTAGATTTCAGAGTACTAAAAACCTGTGGTTGCAGCGTAATTAAAGACTACATCCAAGTTTTACTGCGGTCGGCTCTAAAGTTGAGTCGCGATTAATGTAAACGCTGAGGATGCGCTGAACCGTTGCGCTGTTTTTTGCCGCTGTTAGCTAATGTTAGTCGCTGTTAGCCATTGTTAGCCAGAGTTCAACCATCTGTGACGTGGATGTTCCTCTGCTGGACTTGGAAGCTTAGTTAATAAAGTTTTATATGATGTGAAAATGTAGCTCAACTGTTAATCAGAGCTCATAACTTGTTGTTTAGCCGGCTCCTATCAGCTGTCTGCAGACGTGAGGATGGCAAATCTAATCTGCTGACAGATTTGAGACTACGCTAGAGACGCTTTCATCACATTTTTGTTCATTTGGTGAAGAGGACTCCTTCTCTGATGATAAAACATGGGTATGATGCTTTATATCTTTAGTCTGAAGGTGCAGACACAAATTTAAATGTCTCTTACATGGCATTCGAACACCTCTTTTCTGCCTCTGATGTACTACGTATGTACGGCCAAACTTGTAAAACACAATTAGTGAAACAGGAGATTTCCTTCTGGCCACAGGATTCAAATATGGTGTGGGTAACATGGTGGCTTCCACAATCCACAAACCAGCTCCAAAGTATTTTTAATGAATTAATTCTGAGTTTATGAGAATGCATCAATTCATTGGAAGATGCAATCACACTATTCTATGTACAGTTTCCTTTTTCTTCTATTAAATTACCTTTAAAAAAAACTACAGAGTGCACCTTTAAATACTTTCATTCACTACAAGCCTTAAAGATTTGGTTGTTGCTCCGAGGGACCAACTGGGCCCCAGAATCACCAGAATACTCGTCTCTTTCAATTTCCCATTTTAATACCTTTGATTTGTAAAATGAAAATTATGAAGTTATGCACAAATAAACTTAGATCCTTCTTTTAAACATTTATAAGGAACATTCTGGCATGTTAAAACCTCTTAAAAACCCATCTGATAAATGTTTTACTGAAAAATATTTTTGTAACCTTCTTGATATTTATTTAAGTTTATCTGCAAATATAAAAACTTGACCAGTCCCGTTACTATCATTTCTTTCTAATCTTGCTCAAGTCTCTCCAGGCCAGCTGAGGAGGATCGAGCGTAAAATGTAAATGTAATCAATGTGTCAGAGTGAAGCGCTCCAAATATTACACACATCCTCGTCGTCCTCACCGGACCACCCGGTCGGCATCATCAAGGTCAAACGGCGCTGGGAGCTGTCAGCGTTCTCACTGCTGCTTATGCTTGTGATTCACTGCATTTCTACAGCTGACCGACGCGCGCAAACACGAATGATGAGCGTGTAAAATAAATGCAATAACATCGTTTATTCATCCCTAGAGGAAAACTCTTTCCTTTCCACTTCAACAGGGAGGTCAGAGTTCAAGGCACGTCATCCTGGAGATGCAGAATCAATGTCTTGCTCAAGGACACGTCGGTAAGGATGGGGAATGGAGTGTGTGTATTAGTTAATTTTAAAGGTACAGTCCGCATTTTTTTTGACATTATTTGCACTGAAAAGATCTGATTTAGTGAAAAGCAGCATCGGAGCTGAGACTCACAAGCATTTGACCCAGCAGGACCTTACAGAGATACAAAGTCGTGTCATTTTTCTTTAAAACTTTTTTTTTATTATTGTTTCTATTGATTGATAGCACTGACGCTTCAAGCTTGGCTACATGATAAGAATCAGGTACTTAAGAAATTAATTACTGAGGGACATTAAATCTAGTTGTGCCTCCAAAGTCCATATTAATCTATAATTATTCCCTTCACATAATTAAAAACATTTCTGTGTGGATTTCATTTAAAGTGCTGCGATCGTGGCTCAAGATTTGGCAGTTTGTCTTGTAATCGGAAGGTTGCCGGTTCGAGCCCCGGCTCGATAGCCTTGGTCGTTGTGTCCTTGGGCAAGACACTTCACCCGTTGCCTACTGGTGGTGGTCAGAGGGCCCGGTGGCGCCAGTGTCCGGCAGCCTCGCCTCTGTCAGTGCGCCCCAGGGTGGCCGTGGCTACAATGTAGCTGCCATCACTAGTGTGTAAAGCGCTTTGGGGTCCTTAGGGACGAGTAAAGCACTATACAAATACAGGCCATTTACCATTTATGCTTTTTAAGAAACTGTTCTGTGCATGAGTTTACCTGCGTTAGTGTTGGTGGTGTTGGAGCCCTGCAGGAGCACAGTCAGCGTCTCCATCACCAGCCAGGCCAACTGCTTCTGCTCCTCCACCACAGTGTTGTTTTTGCAGTCAGCTAAACATGGAAGGAAACACAGAGCGAGAGGACAGAGGTCGATATTAGACGGGATTGCAACTGTGATCCAGTAAAATCGTTTCTAAGTAAAAGAAAAGTAAAGAAGCAGTTCACCTTGGTCATTACTGTGTGGTTGCTGTTGTGAGGCCGGTTCTTTGAGCAATGCCGCGTACTTGTGCAGCAGGTTGACCAGCACCTCCAGCAGTCCGACCTCCCGCAGCACGTCGCTGAACACCGGGTCGTGCCTGGCCAGCTTCAGCAGCGTCCGTACGGCGGTGATGCTGCAGGCGTGCGAAGTGCTCGATTTGAGGAGCACGCTAACGCTGAAGAGTTCCTTACACGGCACATAGTTGAGGCTGAACACTACAAACTCCAGCAGCTCGAAGTACTTGGTCTGAGCCTCAGGGAGCTTGGCCACACGCTCTGCAAACTGAGACAGCGTGTGCTGCGACTCTAGGATGAAATAGTTGGCCGGTTCGGCTGCGTAGATGTTTCCGATGGCGTCCAGGAGCATGCACGCCAGGCGGCTTGTTTTGGCCCGTAGAAAGGCGTTTTGGAGCACCGCAAAGGCCTGAATATTACGCACTGTATGGCCTGAAATTTAAAATACAAAGAAAAAAAAAATATATATATATATGGATCAACAATTAGACACAACGGTCTCAGTCATAGAAAATTTGCTCTGTTTTGTATTTTGTGTAAATATCCAAGATTGTTACATAACAGAGTCCCAGACGGGTTTAATACAAACGATTTAAACAAAGCCAGCCTTTCTCTGCCTTAGCTGGCTAAACCACTGCATGACCTTAATATAAAATACTTATTTCACTCAATGAGTCGCATTTAAATGAATAATTTATGTGTTTTCTGGATTTTGTGGTTAATATTCTGTCTTCTTCCATTAAAATGAGACAGTATTCATTTCTTTGTAAGTGAGCAAACTTTCAAATTCAGCAGGGGATTTCCATATAGTCAACAGGAGACTCTTCAGTTTCTGCTGAATCACTCCACTGAACTTTTTACAGCGACTGCAAAACGTCTCCTTTCTCTGACCTCTGTTATTCTAAACTGCCGTCTGTCACAGTTAACGGGGCAGATACACGATACTTCAAATTTCTTCCCTGTTGTCACTCTTTGTTTTTTAAATATGCACGTTTCCAGTTTGCTTCGTTGAGTTGATACTGGAGTCTTTATACGGAATAATCTTCATTCAGTGAGTCAACAAAAATATTTTAGGCTTATTTTAAGCTAGCTCAAAAATCATCGGCTATGACTTTCACACTCACGGGACGACACTAAAGAAAAGGAGCGCTGAAAGTGTGTGTCAGCACATAGCCTCAAACACACACAGCAGTTAAGTGGATGCGGCGGGTTAATTAGGCGTGTAAGCGCACCCTCGTACCATGATGGCTCCTGGTAATGACTCTGTGCTCAGCTGGAACTGTCACTAGGTGGGTAAACACAAGTGTAACTGCATGTGCTTGTGACTCAGGCAGGGTGTATGCGGTTAGAAACCCAACACGCTGACAGTGAGTGTGTTACCATGTGTGAATGGGTGGAGGTGAAAGGCGGGATACAAACACCACAGCTCCAAAGAAACTGTGTTTGATTCTAAAGCACTGAAAGCTGAAACGCTAAACGAACCCACACAAAGTCAGAATGACAGATAAATGGAGGGAAATGTTATTTTAGTCATTTGCATTTGCTTCAAAAACAAAGAAATTAATAAGTAGAGATGGACTAAATACAATTTTAAGTTAACCCTTTAAGACCTACCATAGAACCAAGTCCGCCAGAGCTTATATTATATTTTTACATGCTGTGGAG